AGCAATATAGCGAACAAAATTTCAAAGATGGGATATTTTTATAAAATGCTTTCTTTTTTTTTCGAATATTGACTTTTTTTAGAAACCATCAATCCAGCCTCCAGTTTTACAGCGGACCCTATTAATATGCCCGACAACCTTTATTCACATGTGGACTCTGATCTCCGACAAACTTTCCGACAAAATTGGCGGCAAATTCGAACTCAACAAAGACGTGGGAGACGGCTTCAAGACGTTTACAATTATCGRCTTACTCCTGATGGCCACCAACAGTTTCCAACCTTCCTTCGTCAAATCACGCGAGACCAAACTACAGTATTCAAAGTTAATTTATCATTTGGTTTTATCCTTCGTCATACCGAGACAGGTGACTTGCARTATTTCCACGCGTCAGCAAATAACAACCGAGTATTWGAGGCGCCCTTTCAAGTTGGAAATGAGAATGATATGSAACAACTGATTGACCAGCTTCGAAATATTGACTTTATTGAATGGATTGGACTTCAAAGACCAAATACAAAGTTTGTTGTGGATTGGGTTACGAATGTGACCTTTTTYGTGACRAAAGTTCGTGGTCATCCAATTGGCAGGACTGTCGTTCTTCCAAGATTTATCAAAAGAAATAAGTTTATCATATCCCTGGAGTGCGATACCCATGGAGTTCCTTATCAAGACTGGCTATGTTTCTTCCGTTGTTTAGCCTTTCACCGTGGTGCTCAACCGACAAATCTGAAAGCCCATACAAAACACTATTATCAACAGTAAGTGCTATCAAATAGTAATTCAATTATCTTTTTATCTCATTCTTAATTTTNCGACGTTTAAACTTCGATCTGATCGAGTTGTCAATTAAATTAGGCATGCAAACTCAACTAAGTATATGTTACAAAGAAGCTAACAAAAGACGTAAACAATTGTAGATGTCGTAAAATTCTGAAAGAACAATGATTTTACAACGTTTCAGAGGTTCTGATGTAATATGTTGTTTATTAGAATTTTCAGGTATTCAGCCTAGTTTGAAGACTACTAATCATTATTCATTCTCAAAAGTCTAGCTGAATACTAATCCACTTACAAGTGCCATTAACTAGCATTTCAACAAGGATGACTATCCAATCAAAATCTTGACATGTTAGAATGATCTGCCCAAGAGAGCAAACGATATTAATTGAACAGTCATGTTCCAAATACAGCTTTTTTAGTTTCACTAGACAAGGGTAGGGAGGGGGAAAATAAATTAACTTTGAATTCAAGGAAACGTGTCACGTACGTCTGAACGTGTGTTTGGATAGCCCCAATATCTGTCATGACATAAAATGCATTTAACCAGAAAAAATATGTCTAATTCGAGTTTAGGCTGTTTCGTAAAAGGCTATTGCGTCTCACCTCCTTCACAAAAGAAAAACCTTGATAAATCACCATTGTTTTTCTGAACCTTTGATGTTCTAAACTGAGTAGTACTGAGTAGTACGATTAGTTGATTGACTTAAATCAATTGAATGTTTGATCCCTGTGGAGATTGCAATAACTTCTAGGTCAACCAATCGATACCTACAAATTCTGGACAGCTCGTTTTCAACAATTCCAATGAGATTCAAAAGACAAAAGGACCGGCGGCCATGTTGGATCCGAATAAACAATGAGAGGAGAACTATCGAGGAGAAATGAAGTTCAACCAAGATGGCAGCTGTAACGTACACTGAAAACGAAGAATATAATATGCTGCAAGCAGTTTAGATTTATCACAATATTCTTCTTGACTCCCTGATGTTCAAAATAAACGAGAGGAGGGATGTCCAGTACTGGCCTATCCCCACTTGCTGTCCTGGCTGTCCCCTAAGGACTACTAACATGCACTGGACATCCCCCAGCTATTCCCTGGTCTATGCTATACCTCTGTGTCCCAAGTGTCTCTTCCATCCCCTTGTCCTTTAGGGATCACTTAGACATCCCCTAGTTGTCCATTATGGGGACGGGAGAGAGAGGACAACACCATTGCCCGATTTCATACCGTGGGAAGCTGGGCACAAGTCTCTTAATTAGCACGATGCTGAGATAAGACTTATATAGAACGAAAGATCGCACAGTAAATAAGAAACTCAAAAAGTTTGGTGTTAATTGGTTCAAATGTAGATGATTGGCAGCTTTTCAAAAATTCTAGATTTTACAAGTAAATGTATGGGAATTTAGAAAAATGCGGACGCAGCGTCCGGCATCATATCAAACTTATTGCCATACATCGGGTGACATTTGCTTAGATGTCTTAGATTAGATCTTTTGATATGTTATCAATAAAGAGGCCGAAAAAGAGCACAAATACGCCATTTTTAAAAGAATATATAGGTTTATCGGATTCGGTCTTTAAAAAATGGCGCTAGAACTGAAATTATGACCTAAAAGATCGAAAAATTGCTTAATTTATCCAACATAAGATAGTCGATAATAAATAAAGTTTTACTTATCTGAAATATACACTGAAATGTCGTCTTAGACACTAAAAAAGACTTGATTTTACGAAATTCATCCAATTAAATGATGATCTTTACTCGAACTCTCAAACGTTTGTTGCTGAATTTATTACCGCTGTCTTTGTTGTACCAGCCACTGCTGTCTCGCCAGGAACGTTATTCATTAACGGAAAATCACTTTTAGGTCATAATTTCAGTTCTAGCCCCCTTGATTAGAAAAAGCAAAAAGCTTTAAACAAATGCTCTTTGAAGCCCTGGGACTCTTCAAGACATGTGTGTTCAGAACTATTACTTTATTCTCATTGTTTTCTAGTAGAGTCAATTTCGTGTGAGTGGAAAACGTACGGTAGAAATTACCGCACGGTTACCGCACAGTTAGCGGACCTGGCCTGCACAATTTTTGTGAAGCAATGAGACACTAGGTAGACACTAGCTTTTAATTCAATATCCTTCATACGAATAATCAAAACCACAAGCATAAATTCTCAAAATTGAAGGAAATGGCCTGAAATTAAACTTCACAGAAATGTAAAGAAAAACACAATACACAGGTAGAGCTGTTTATTTTTGTTATATTTCAAATATTTCTAAAAAGTAAAAAAAATTCACCCCCCCCCCCCCCCCCCCCTCCCAAAAAAAAAAGAAGACTTTAGAAGAAGAGCGGTAAATTACCGTGTTCCAGTGGTTGTTTTTTTTTATACAAGTTACAATATATATCGTGTTTTTTTCTTTTTTATGTCATTATTTCTCTATTTTCCATTATGAACTTTACTATCTATCCCGACTTCACGCTGTTAAAGCGTCAAGTTTCTAATGGGATGCGATCGTGTAGTTTGCTAAGATGGTTACCAATTTTAGAATCCAGTGTCGGAATGTCCTTGAAGTCGTGTCCTAGACCGTCGATTGTGTCCTGGATGTAGGGTGAAATTATTGATCGTCTATTACAGGTTGACCAATTACATCTGTTATTGTTGTTCGTTCCTTTTTTCGCTTTAACTACCTTGAAACTTGCCGAACCGATGTTTTAAAACATTGTTCCACTCATGAATATATTTCCTTTACATTTATATTTTATATCATAATATTTCATTTTTAAAATTAGTTATTAAACACCCGTGTAACATCGGAAGGTGCAATTGAAGACTGGCGTTCAATAATATACTTATAGACTTTAATACGAGTACCAGAAGATCCTGCATCCTGCAATACTTCTCTTTTGTTAAAGGAAAGGCAATAGTATAAAAGTGAACTGGAACTCAACAGCTGTGCATGCAATAACCGCTGACCACATGACCCCAAATAGTCTATTTTTGGTCTGGATCTCAATAAGCTATAAACATTTTATTTTATTTCATTTTATGCAAGTTAGAAATTGATGATAATAATAAACTTTATTCTACAATGGCGGGCATTATGCGTTGTCGCCCCCATTTTCCCTCTTTTCAATGTCTGCGGAGGAGGTTCTGCCAACGCAATTTTCGGGTTAAAAATGACCGGTCCGTAAATAGTATAGTTCACAAATGAACAAAATCATGTGATTTGTAGTTTCATGGCTAAAATCTCAAATAAACGTTTATCATGAGTAAAAATATGTCATGTGAATCACAACAATTTATCGCTACCATATAAAATTCATTACATGGATGGATAGATTAATTATAAAAAAAATAATTAATTGATGATTAAAAAATTCTATGTTTATTAATTGATTGATTTAAGACACTGATAGCTATTGTCCTTATTACTTGAAAGATTGGTAGATTAATTCCGGTATATTATCAATTTATATCGTGACTAGCTTGGAAGGCCGTCCAACTTTTTTACTGACCAGCCAGCCTTTATAACTCTATCGTATATTTTACCAAATTTTTCAGGTTTCCAAAATATTCACGTTTCATATTCAAGACTCGTTTAGGTTGATTGATTTATTGATTGATTGAAGTCCCAATTTGAATGCGTTTTCATTGTACAATTCGAAATTGATCATCTTTGAGGTCACAAAATCAATCACCCTGAGCTAATGCCCTGAGATACAAAAATCAAATGAATCCTTACTAAATTAATCAATATTCTCAGCCGTGCGTGGCTAATAATTGGGTATGCTTACTCAGAGCTTTGCGTTGGCTTCTGAGTTGGTTTAATTTTAACATATAACGTCATAAAAAGATTCCGAATTAAATTGATTGAGTACTAATTTGAGTACTTCCAATGCACACGTCGAATGATCGTCATTCTCTTAGGTCACAATATCTATCACAATGACCTGAGCACTAAAACTCAAATGAATCCGCACATTATCAAAATGCTAATGATTGTTCCATAGTTAATCAATTATCAGCCTTACGTAGTTAATAAATAAATATGCTTACTCAGAGCTTTGCGTTGGCTTCAGTTGGTTTAACATAAAGTCACGGCAATTTGGAATGTTGGTCCCTGGTGCCGACTAAACATTGCCTTTCGTTACCAACCWTTCGTGGTTTGTGGCAATAACTGGTACAGTTAACTCTTGACTTTGAGTCAAACAATCCAGACATGGCATTGTCTGGAAGCGAGAGAAAGACACTAGAACAAGAACTTAGCAAGACTAAAGCAACCACAGCAAACATTGTTGAAGCTATTTCAAGCTTGAATKCCTCGCTAGTAACATTTAAAGAACGAAGCTACCAGACTATGAGTAGAATTCGTACGGCAGCAGACTTGATTGTCAACGAGATACGCTCACACGAAGAGAAGTTGGTCGCACGAGTACAAGAGATCATCAACACGAAGGAAGAATGTGTTGAGCGCCAGAAGAAGTCGCTTCAGGATTATGTGACAGAGTTACAACAGACTATTGATTACACGAGCGATGTTYTAAACAGTACAAATGAGCCGGAAATGGATCTAGAAGAGTGGAAAAGTGCTCTAACGTGCCAGTTAGATCAAGTTAATGGTATGAAAGATGGTTATGAATATGAATTAGACATGAGCGACGAAGGCAAGTTTTTATTTGTATATGCAAATCAGGATCTCCTTAAGTCAATGGCTAATTATGGAACTATAATAAATAATATTCCTGAGRGTTTTATATTTGAAAACAACGATGACAACGGCAGCTATGCTATTATGGAGCAGAAAGCAATTAAGATTATTCCTGTAGTAACGTTAAATGGGGAAATTGTGGATTTAGATGCTAATAGCGAGCTGGAAAGTGACGAGGAATCATCTGATGATGAAAGTGATGATTCTAGTTACAGTAATGATGACAGTAGTAATAATGACGACGACGATGATGATGATGACTCAGAGGGATATGACGGTACTCATGATAATGATACTAGAGGCACTATTATGAATAGGTCGTCAGTTCCTCGTAAACCTAAACTAAGTACTTTAATATAGCATATTTTTGCAAACATTTCTACAAAGTAAGACGCTCACGTAGACAAAACGTTTTAGTGTGGTTCTCATTAGCCCGTGAAACAAAGTGTAATAGTCAGAGTGTAATAAAGTGTAATAGCCAAGAAATATAATAGAAAACAAAAGAGACAAAGTGYAATAAAGTGTAATACGCTAAAGTGTATTTCACGGGTTAATGAGAACCGCTCTAGGAATATACAAGTAACTGCTTATTTAAGTGCATAATCTAAAGAGACCTATATAGTCCTCTAGAGCTTTTRCGTCATATACCGTACGCAATGCATCGTAGGGTATTTTTGGGACAGAATTGCGAATTTCTTTTGTTGTCTCTAGACTCTGATCCCACAGTGCATTGAAAATCTTATGTGGCGACGTAAAAGGTTCAGAAGTCTTCTGCAAGTCTTATTTTTGTAAGGTGTACATACGTTAAAGGAAGTTTATTCTTGTAAATAGATAGTGATTTTCATATAATATGAGAACYAACTAATTTTCGCGGTCTTAATAATTGTGGGATATGTCATGCATAATTCAGCACATTAACTAGTCAGTCAGAACATTTTATCTCTTTTTAATTTAATTTAATCCTCAAATTTCAGAAATTTAGTGTTTTAATTGTGCTCCTGATGTTTGTAATTTCAATGCACGCGCAGTATGTTAATTGGTTTGAACTATTGCGCGCTCTAGATGCAATTATACATTACTATRATAGTGTTTATTTACATTTGTATCCTCGCGCACGCATTTTAATTTCATTTTGCCCTGATGAGGGACAAGTTGTCCGAAAGCTCAGTAACTAATAAATCAACGTAGAAKAAGCATACCTTGGTATATTAAAATGCATAATGTATTTTGATGATTCAAAACCTTTTGATATATACTGCTCTCATTTGACTTTGCTATAACAATAAAAACGAAGCAGCAACAGCAATAGCAAAACAAGACTACAAAAAAATCACTAATCATATACTTTGCTATATAAGCTAGATATTAGATACCAGATGATGGACTTATCATATGAGTCTTAGAAACTCTACTCCGCGGAACTCCTCAGTTAAGCAAAAAAGCAGCGGGAACGAAATTGGGGTGAGGAAGGGAGGAATATCAGGCGAAGCTCCCTACTCCTTCTCTTATCTTCTTTGTTTCTATGGGACTGCGCAATATTCATTCTTTTTCCACGTTCTTTTTAATTTTCTTTGAGCTTTTGGTCTTGTTGTCTTCGTCGTTGTTGCTRCTGTGGGTGGCGATGGTGTTGCTTGGTGAACAGAYTCGAAACACATGTTTCAAAGGCATAGAGTGGATTTCATAARCAAGTTAGGAATACACTCCAGGTTATTACGTATATGATCTTGACTCAATTATTATGAAATATACAATTACAAATTATTGGGCGATTCCACGTTGTGGACATTACATTCAGAAGCCAATTCTGAATCTTTAACTTCCTCTAAATTCYTTGCTAATTCAATCTAGAAGCTAAAAGTTATATGTTGGATACTTAAATGGAGTTTCTATAATTTGGTACAAAGCGTTTTCTTTTTTTCCTTTTTGTCAACTGAAAAATAAGCTTTTTTAAAAACTTTTTTAAAAACTGTGTTGTGGACATTACATATGAAACTACCACATTTTCAATTGCTTCTCTTTTATTGCATTTTCTTGTGATTTGAAAGATGTTTATCAATAGTCAATACACTACACTTGCTGGTGATAGAAGCTTACTTCTACAATAAAAAAAATATTTCAACGATATTTCAATATATTTTTATCTTCAAAACATTGCGTTGTGGACATTACCTCAAAACCGTTGTGGACATTACATAKCGGTTCTTCAAACGTTTTGGCGTTTTACTGACAGGTAAATTGGTCTGCATTCAACAATTGTCTAATTGTTTTGTTCACTCACTTACATAACTGCACATCTTCAACATCAGACATATCGAGGGCGTAACCATAATTTTCATTGTAGATGGGATACCTAATTGTCACTATGAAGTCATATGAAGTCAATATAATGTCATATCAATCTATGGCTTTCCCGCAAAAGAATCGATAGATCGATAGAGGAGAAAAAAAAAGCATTCGTTGCTCGAGCTCTGTTTCTCAGAAGTACGAGGGCTTTTTTGTTTTTGGAAATGCGCGTCACCATATATGGAACGTCTTCATCAGGAGGCCCAATTGATGGTTTTTGATTGGAATTGACTAAACGAAACCGGCCCGAGAAGACAGAAAACAAAATTTCTTAATTTTTTAGTTCGAAACATATTGTTACAAACTGTACCAACGGTTAGATTTTTTGGACTTGGAAAGGGGCGACAAACAAACAAACAAACAAACAAACAAACAAAAGCTTGTTCGTGTTTTTTTCTTAATTAATGCAGCCAGACATCGAGAAGATATTTGGAATAATCTTGACATGCAATTGAGAACAATAGACGAGTTCACGCTTAGTGACGATGAAWCATATGTAATCAGGGCAAGATTGCTAAGAGGCGATGGGGAAAGAGATACGTTTTTCGCAATATTTTGTTTCTGAGTTAAAYATCCCAAACCAGACTCTTCCTGTAGATGGATAATCGACTGTCGCAAGTTAGGTTATTGAAGTCTAGATAATTTTTCGCAGTTTTCCGATGTTTACATGGCCACTATCTATGAATTTATAACCACTAGATTTGATAGCAATCCGAACTTGTCGAATTTATACTGGAAAGACGAGATAAATGCGATATGAAGAACGAGCTCTCTCGAGTTTGCATTGCTGCACCTTTACAACGTGTTGGCAATTACCTTGGCTGCAAATAAAAAAAAATGATAGGTAAAGACGTAATCCTAAAAATAATAGTTTAGAAAGTAAATAGAGCGCATACACGCAAAAACTAGACTGACACCTCGCGTAAACWGAATAGACGGACTATAATTTTACCATCTTGAAAATGTCACTAAACAACAAAACTTTAACATGCATGCTACTGTACAAAGCAACTTCAAATTAACTAACAATAATTGTCAAAGTCCTCGTCATGGCAGTGTTTTGAATACGACTATTAGTTTTCTCCATCGAGTTTTGGACGTCAACCTGGACGGTTGTTTCCTTTACAGAGCAATCTTTTCGCTGATTCTCGGAAGTCAGACAGACAGACACAATAGATGCAAGGACTAAGAAAGGAGTTGACGAGGGGAAAAACGTACAAGGCCAAGAAAAAAAATATTTGCCAGTCGAAACAAACGTCTTTAAAATAAAATGTTATAAAACTCGTAATCGAAAGTGGGAAATAGCAAATGCAGTAAAACATTAGAGAGTACAAAACCAGTTTTACTGCATTCCGGACTCGCTTCCTTCGTTGCTCTCTTTGTACTTCAGAAAGACTGTTTTCAATGGCTTGTGGTTTGGATATCCTAATCAATGTTAAAATACTCAGCAAAATCATGGATAAGTAGAACAATRTTATTAAACTGAAATATACTAGCAGAACGATCTTGGAAGGATTTAATTCCATTTTACTTGATTGAATTTGAGGAGAATAAAAAATGAAAAGGTGCATAACAACTGCTGTGAACCAACAACCAGCAAGGGCTACTACGCGTTGCTTTCGTGATAGCGGTCGTGATATTTGAATAGTTTGCCTGGTGATCCTATATCTTTCAATGCTGATGACCAGTAGAGTTACAAGAGATTCAATCATAAAAACATAGTACAAAAATGATAATGTCTTGTGAATGGCGGTTGCAATCTTTTCGTCCATATAGTTCCGCATATTGTACATAAGAAAGCTATTCATCACATAGCGTTGTATATGGAATAATATAAAAAGAGCATCTGCAACAGCCATGTTGATGATCAAAAAGTGTAGACTCTTTRTTACAGTGTACTTTACAGCCAGCATGATGACAAAAACGTTGCCAAAAATACCAAATCCACCAAGAACTAAACATGTCATCAGTTTGACAGTTTTTAAGGCAAAATCAGGCTCAGTGTTGCTGTGTCCACAGTTATTTTCGGTCTCAGTAAAATTGGTTGCRTTCATGTTTTGTTTCGCTCGGCTTGCTGTTAAAGTCAAGTTAAGGGCCTARTAAATTGATCTCGTCCTTTTATTGCTCATTTCTCAGTTGCTTAACTTCCACTCTTGACTTACTTCTAAATTTTCCCTGCACACTTCAATATGTCCATGATCTCTGATCATAATTTACCTTAATTCATTCCTTATCTTTTTTCTGCTTTCATTTTCTTTCTTTTTGTAAGTGACTGAGAAATAGATCAATAAGGCAATCAAAATTGTAAAGGAACAGTCCCCATGTTTTAAAAGGATCGTTCCAAGGAAGCAATTAAGCATACATATCTATTTCGCGTCCTTCTGTTGCTTTTGTAATAAGATTCCTCCAATTATGTATCCTTTTGATTAAAAATTCTAATAGCATAAAACTTAAATCAAGAGCTATCGTTATAATGACGAAAAAGTGGTTTTGGCTGAACTAAATTTGAAACTAAAGTGRACGCAATGTAAATTGGATTTGAAAAAAGAAGAATCATAGCTTAAGAAAAAGACATTAGTATCATTGCCATATATAATTTCAAACCTCATATGTAATTTTGTGCAGTGACGGGATGTCCGATGCAGAGGACTACTGAATCATTTGGTTTTTTGATTGCTGGCTTTTGTGGTGTATGATGATGATTTAGAAGAGGCCATACGTAATTTTAAATCCCATATGCAATTATCAGCAGCATCTTGAGATGTCCCATTAAGAGGAATATTGCACCATCTGCTGTCATAATTGCTGTTGTGGTGAATGATAAAAGAAGGTCATTTCTATGTGGAATAGTTACTAGATAATACATTGAAGGTGGTCTTATTTCTGCGTACATATCAAAGCTTAGAACATCARTAGCACTTGATAGAGGTAATATACAAATCATATGACAGATTCCATACAGTATACAAAGTAGGTAGCGAGTAATACCAGAGGGTCTGATGGTAGAAAAAAAAAAT